AGAAACTCCGCATCCAGGACTCTCTACCTGAAATATCTACTTTTGTATGATTAAGGAATTATTTAAAAACTACATTATCAAAAAATCACAAAATGTAATAATAATTGATACTAATATTCATCCGAAGTCCCTTCATATGCAGAGTGAACAAAGTAGAGCAGAACATGCAAAGACTGTTCCTAATAAGGTCAAATCTATACAAGCAATAATGTTTAGCTAGCCTTGGTAGAGTAACTAAGGAGAGTTCTCATTAATAACACTCCGTTCGATGTCTCACTATGGGATGCGCCTCATCGCGGAGCAAACAGAAGCATCAATCTCATTACGCCAATCCTGATTGGCTGGTGATCTTGACGTCACCGTCAGGGAATCCACCCACCCTATAAGTAGCTTGCGCTACGTCGCAGCGTCATTCAAACACCTCTTCTCGCTTCAGAGCACATCTCGACATATCAGTAGCCGGGCTAGCTTAACAGTCCACAGACTGAACCCAAAGCTAACTTTCGGTCGACGGGCGCTCGCCGGCTACTTTTCTGCTTCGCAAGAAGACTGTTAATACTAACACACCAGTTAGTATTGCAATCTACCTCGCCGTTTCTTTCTTCGGAAATAAAGGTAAGGTTTTGATTTTTCAAGCTAGTGACACACCTGTTGCTAGCTTGCCTTCCCTCACTACCGACACCACGGTAGCGAGGAAGTTTTTTCTTTTTCTCTCTCACACCAGAGGAGGGGAAGATAAAAAGGTATTAACACACCAGTTAATATTCTTTGAGAATAAAATTCTACACCGTCGCTTTTTCTCCGGATTAACGACAGGTGGGGAAAGAATTTTTTCTCGGCAACGTACCTGTTACGAGCGGGTCCTCTCCACGCCGTCACCACGGCGAACGAGATGGACGCTTCTCTCCCTCACACCAGAGGAGTCAGGGACTCGGAGGCTCGGCTCTGCGGCTGCGGGTTGAAGATATCAGGCACAGACTCACACCAGGTCTGCTCGTCCTGCCTCGGGCTGGAACAACGCCCAGGATGCTATCGACAACCCCGGCTCGTGCGGGCATTTTGCCCGCTTCACCATCAAGAGCCTCCGCCGACGGCTAGCATGCCAAACTACCATGTCGGGAAAGGACCAAGGAGACCGCAGGTCTCGCTACGAGGGGAAGACTTTGCCNGGTCACTAGTGTCCTTATGGGACTTGACAGTGGTTTCAGATGGGCTCACTCGTACCTCATTTGAGCCTCTGGGAGAAGCTGTCATGAGGCATCTGTCACTAAAGACAGTGCAATCACTGGCTCTGGCATCCGCCAAGCGAGTCAGTGACTTCATGCGCTATCTGTGCATCCTCCACGCACCTAGTTCGTCCCAGGGCAAACTAGAGTGTTGCTGAGGCCCAATCCTACCTTTATCCTAAGGTGGTTGGTTCAGCTACCCCAATTGACATTTAGGCAATTTTCTTCGCCGCTTTGTCCCCCCGGGGAACAGCAGTTGAATTTGCTATGTCTAGCCCTTGCTTATGCACCTATGTGGACGGATCAAGGGAGTTTTGTGTCATAATGACCAACTCTTTGTGTCCTGGGCTAACCCTTACAGGGATAGGCCCGTTACTAGGCGACGGTTCTCCCACCGAATGGTAGAGACTATTGCTTTGGCCTATACGAGTCGGAAATTGCGGGCACCTTCGGGTTGCGTGCTCTATAGACTCGGGGTCTGGCTACACCCTGGGCTGTTTGCTCAAGGGTGTTTCCATCCAAGACATTTGTGCAGCGACGGGCTGGTCCTCGCCGCTCACTTTTGTCCGCCTTTACAGGCTAGACGTTTCTGCTCCCTGTGTGGCCCGAGCAGTGCTGGGCGCCCCGCTGAGTCAGAGCTCTACCTGTTAGGTTCTGGTTGGTTTGGTGATTTTCGAGATAAGCTCGTCTGGCAATACGGGAGTTACGATTTCCCATAGTGAGACATCGAACGGAGTGTTATGAATGAGAACTAAAGGTTACTTACGTAACCCCAGTTCTCAGAGTAACATGAAGTGAGATGTCTCACCAGACGGCCCTCCTTGCTAAGGTGAAGCGAGATAAGGTGCTTATTTTGAATGACGCTGCGACGTGGCGCAAGCTACTTATAGGGTGGGTGGATTCCCTGACGCTGACGTCAAGATCACCAGCCAATCAGGATTGGCGTAATGAGATTGATGCTTCTGTTTTCTCCGCGATGAGGCGCATCCCATAGTGAGACATCTCACTACATGTTACTCTGAGAACTGGGGTTACGTAAGTAACCTATAGTTTTCCCTACGTTTTTTGTGAGTTCTGCAAGGCTGGGGAAGAGTGTGGTGCTGCATTTTAGTACAGTGGGGGGTCAATGAATGTCACTCATTTCACTTTCATCTCTCAGTTCTAAACACGGTGCTCTTTGACGTTGCTGCCTTTGATGACCTCATATCTTTCTAAGTCTTGCCATACTGTAAAAGGAGAGGATTGGCTCTGAAGTGCAAAACATGGTGGGAGTTCAGTCTGGACCTTTTGGCTCAAACTCTAAATAGGATGTGAAAAGTAAATATAGAAAAATGTTCACAGAAATAAATTATGAAATAATAACTGGAGTCAAACAACCTCATTAATACTGATTTTACTAGTAGAGTGCACATTTGGTTGAATATCAACAGGGAGTTATGGATCTTACCATCTTCAACCAAAAGCTCACATATTATGATAGTATTAGATTTGTAGTTTCTTGGCAAAGTTTAACTAGTGCAGTAGTGAAACTGACACCAATTGAAATACATTCAACAAAATACTTTGACAAATAATAAGTTTTCAGACTTTATTTTTGTCATTGTGTGTCTACTTTTTCACGGCCATGGTGAGTCGTGTCGGAATGGCCAATGACCCTTGGGAAAATGACGTCCCATTTCTAAACAGCTGCATGAATTTAATTATACAGTAGAGCTAGAGTGGATTTTGACTGCAGTGTATAGTAGCTACCCAGAAAATAGAAACAGCATTACCAACCTTAATCAAACATCGGTCACAGTTGGATACACTTGGATAAACAATAGTTAACACTGCATATGTTATATGACTTACAGAATCAGTGGCTGCTTTGCTGCCATATGCTATTTCTCTGTAATTTTATTTTGTATTGATCTATTTAGAAAAGTGAATTGTACCTCAATTAAACACTTTGGGGATTATGGTCATGATCATTTTAGATTAATCAATTTGAAAAATATGAATTCTTGTGGGGATGCAACACACTGCAACACACAGAACCTTGTAATAGTTCTGCTTAGTGCATGTTTCTTAGGACTTTAACATACTGGTTATTACTTGTGGTGGGAATTCCACGCTTCATCACCTTCTGGTAAGAAATGAACACATCTACAAGTTTAAACCAAAGTTGTGTTATTCAATGAACAGTTCAAACATTTAACTCTAAGAAATGCTTTGTTGCAGTTTCTTGCAACAGATCCAATAGGCTCAACCAAACGGTGGATGACATTAGTCCAGCAGATGGAAAACTGAATGACCTAATTACATTTTTGAATCTGCTTACGAGCAGCTGGACTCATCCATAATATAGAGCAAAAACTGAAAATGAAATGTTTCCCATGTTTTTAGAGAGAATGTTTACTGGAAATTATTATAATTTATTTTAACTTGAAGGTGATCAGGCAGAATCAGTACCACATCAAGTGTGGGTATACTATTTAAAGTCAATTTCAGTGTTTTATTACATTCTTAGTCTGTATAGGATATTACTATGCCAGTAATATGTTACCGCATCTCAAAGCGTAACTACTGTTCTGAAAAAAAAAACTACTGACAGAACTTTCTTAGACTCCTCAGGGAAATTATCTTAATAGGGGTAGAGTGCATTATTTACAGTTGGAAACTTGCACATGGTGGTCACATGCCACAGAATGACATTTGAGCAAGAGTCAGCAGTCTTGTTTACTGAAGAGAGCTCCCAGCACCATTGTGTTTGTTCCCCTAACCAAGATACATATCACTTTGGTTCTAGTGTTTGATTTTCTTCATTGGGGAAGTGAGATTTGTGAAAGAGAAGGAAATGTTGCAAGTGTGAATGTGTGACAGTAACTGGATGTGAGATCTTGGTATCTTTTTTCTAGGCCACTGTGGAATAGTAGTAGGTAAACATTGGCAAGAAGATGAATAAAATAAATTTGCTTTATTGTCAGAATCATCATTGTGGATTTGGATATGTGGTATTAAGGGTGTCATCACATCTCTCTGTGATCAGGTGAAAGAGAACTTCCTTTTAGTGTAACATGAGAAAAGTATCAATATTACTTGTGCTGTGTTACTGGACACATTATCTATAGGCAGTAGACAAACCAATCCCATTTTTTCCAACAAGGGAGAAGATTTGTATTTTTTGTTTGTTTGACAGCACAATATATGTAAGGGTTTTTATTATTATTTATTTGTATTTATTATTGATAGATCATTGTTCAAACAATGATTTAGATTGTCTTATTCAAACTTTATTTAAGGAATATACCCATTGAGACTAAGGTATTTTTTTCAATGTATAAGATTGTTATCAACCACCAATAGTCATATCACACATTTACGTGTTAAAAACCCATACACACAAATAATACATAGTCACACGTTTAAGTCTAAATATGCTTAAGGATTATACCAAAACACACCCAGTCGGACAATATTGTGGACACTATTATGTAACTGGGTTACAACAAAACAATAACACAAGCTGTTATTATCACACACATAGACATAGAAGGGTGTGTCATTCACGCCCGTAGTCCTATCCGTCGCCCCCCTCTCATAATAATCACAGATCTATTCTTACAAATGACTGAGTCCCATCCGCTTGCTGTGAGATCAGACTGACCCCTACGTCACAGCAGGCTCCTCCCCTTGGACGCCACGCCGACCTTATGACTGTCAGCAAATCTGACCAATAGAAACTGAAATCCCCACGTCTGACGTATCTCGTGGGCCAATCAGAACGCGGGTGGGCGGAATCACCGTGGGCCTGGCTTTCAAGCTTGGTTGCGAAGGTAAGCTCTGGATGGGTTTTTGTGAGTTTTATTTCACATCTAGGTTATTATTCATTCTGTAAGTTATATCCTATTGCTGCATGTGCTTGTGTGTTATTGAGTCTGATAAAATAAATTATGTTCGGCCGTTAACGGTCGTCCATTTAGCCTGCCTGGCTAAGTGTACATCACTGCAAAGTATCCCAATCAGAGAGAACAACGGTGATTTCCCCTATTATAACAATTGTTCTTTGATTCTGATTAATGACTGTATTGTCAGCTCTATAACAGCCTTGTCAGTGAACGTAGACATCTGTCAGAGGATCCGAGCTGCCTTGAAACCTTTTTTTGTCAGTTACTACTTTGTTATTGCTGAGTTACACGGTTTAAGTTGGCTTTCTCTAACAATTAACACCTGTTTTCAAACAAAGGGATCTGTCTGTAAGTGTAAAAATGCATTGGTTTTGAATTTAGCCTAACTCCCTATAGCTACCTCTACATATTGTTTACATCTGTTTTACCGATCACAGTATACCGGCTTCACTGTCTGCAAACTGCATACTAAAAAGGCTGCTGAGGCAAACATTTGTTCAAGTTAACGCCCAAGTCATTATAATAAACGAATGATCTAATGTTAACATAATATTGTGTTCTTCTGTATAGAGCCATCACCGCTGTGAGAACTGACTTACTGCCTAGCTGAGGAGACATCAGGACGGATACCATATCCTACCACACCTCTTCTTCTCCAAGCAGCCCCCCTCGCCTGTTGGATACTGTTCAGGAACTTTTTGAAACTTGTCAACATTATATATTTGTTTACCTTTTAAAACGGAATGGATTTTGAAAAGACCTAACCTGGATGGTTTGCTGTCTTGTTAAAAACCTACTGTTGGAGTTTGCCAAGTTTTGAGGAGGTTTCATCAAGTCTTTTTGGAGGGGAACTAACTGAAAGCCGAAATATGGATCAAGCCAGCGGCGGGGAGGACCCGAATAAACCCTCTAAAAAGAAGTCCAACGAGGACGAGGGTAAAAACAAAAAGCTGGTAGGTCATGGCTCGTTGCTGTTGTATGGAAGAAGTGTGCAGTGAACTGTCACATCCTGTATTCCCATAATCAAGGGTTAATTTCTCCCTCAGCTTTAGTGAGCCTGAGAAAGTTGCACTGCTCCATGGTAGCAAAATGTTTGCATTTTCACCTCAGGTTATAATGGCTTTGTTGGGCACATTACACTGAAAATGTGGGCTTTTAACATACAATTGTATACTGTTAAAGTCAAATAAAACCAGGCCAAGTTGATACTTAACTCGAGTAAATGTAGTAAACACCTTGTTGTCAATACAGCACATCTCTATTTTAATGCAGGATGAGGCTCAAATAGTTATTGATGTGTTGTTATTACTTTTTAATGTAGCTGAATACAGAGAGGCTAATAGCTGTGAGAGTTCAGCTAAAGAGATATTGTTACATTGAGTGCTTTACTTTTCATAGCACTCAGTGCATCATGTGATTATCCCCGTCAATACATCTCCTGAAAGTTATCTGAAGAGCATTCTTGTTGTGACAGTTGGACTTCAAAGTGTTTTTTTAATATTATGCAAAGTTCAGTTACAAAATGACTCATTGCAAAGCAGGATGTCTACGTGGTTTGGGGTGTTTTATGAACTGCGAGAGTGTGTGTGATTGATAAAACCTATCCTCAGTCAGACTGAACTGTATTATCAGCTCAATTATGACAGTCCAAGGAGGACATTATCTATTAGATAACAAGTGACCAACTATGTCACCAACATTCGTGTCAGTTTGGCTTCTCTTTTGGCTTGAAGTAGTTTAATAGTTAATGTAAAGTAAGGATTGTGCTTATTAAAAAAGTAAGCTACCCTGAGTCTGCTTTATGGGAGCTGAGATGTTATTAAGCTATTCCTGCATGCTATTGCCTGGAAATGAGATCAAGACTTGAGGTTGTCGTGGTAATAGTCGAAGTGGATTGTGTTTAAAGTCTGGATCAATAACTTCTAATCTCACCCTTTGCAGTGCTTGTTTAAACAGTGTCTCTTTCTTTAAGAGCAAGCGCCTTATTTGGTGAACTTTAGCCGCTTTCGATTCTCTGTCTTAGGTGGAATGTAAACCTGTACATCTCTGTCACATGTATGTCACTGCTTACACACTGTCATCAGCTGTAGACATTACTGGTTGAAATACAGTTTCCCTTACCACAGACAATACACTTTGGCTGCTATTGATTATTGTTTCTGCTTTTCAACGTTTGTCAGCGTGGAAAGCTTGGCTGTTGTTGAACTTCCTAAAAGATCTCTCTGCAGCCGTCAACTGACTCAAAGTAGTGTTTTAAAACGGCTTTATATTCTGCCATCTACTTTTCTATCGAGTTGTTTCTACTTTTACAGAAAGTGACCAATGAGCCAAGTTGGACAGATTGCACACACAAGGGCTGCCTGCTAATTACTTCCATCAACACCTCACTTACGTAGGTGGTGTTTCTCTGGTATAAAACCAGTCCTAAAACTGTGACATATGGTGTCTAACACCACTACTGTGTTTCAGATTGGGTAAACACTCCCACACTTATAATCACTGGTTGTGTTCAGCAAAGTAAAGGTGAGGCAAAGTGTGACCAAACAACCGCCAGACAGGAAATCCCAGAGTGGACTGAAATGACACGTTCTCTCAGAGCTACCTAAAGGGTGTTGTCTTGAGTCTCAACAGCCTGCAACTCTTGAATATCCTGCCTCCCAAGTTAAAAACATGTTTGCAAGGGAATCTAGATGACGTAAGCTTTTCAGCAAATCACTAGTGAAAAGTCTCAGTGACATCACTTCTTTTTGTTCCTTAAAGTGGTCTCAGGGCCCTGTTGCTCAATCCTCCAGGCAGAGCAGTCCGAAGCAAAGGAAGCCTGAACTGTGGCAGCTGCAAACATCTCAGCACTTAGTTTAGGGGAGGAAGTAATCATTCATCCCTGGGTGTAGCCATGATCTGTTCCCTTTTTTTTGTCCCCACTCATAACTAACTCAATGTAAACTGTAGCTCCAAGTTTGTCTGGGTGCATGTAAATAAGATGTACATGTACAAGCTTGAAGGTACTTGAAAATGTAATCACTGAAACAGGAACTTAAAATCTGCTCAGAAATGAACATTTATCAGATGATTATCTCATCTCTTTCTCATTCTTTCTCATGGTTAGACACTTAACATTACTAATGTTACTTCTACATTAATATTTACAGTTTTTACCATATATGGGGCTAATCTTACATCACTGACATGCAGTGTAGGCTTCGTGGATTTGTTCCAGACATGCGCTAATGTCCATCATGAGCTGGATCAAAGTAGACGTTGTCATTGTCTCTTCACACTAGGAGCTGATGAAAAGTACACTTACTATTCGCATGGCTAAGAAGCAAAGTGGCCGACACTGGCACAGTTTGGTCTCAGCAAAGTCAAATCAGGCTTTAGAGGAGAAACACTGAAAGCTGTATGTTTGTTTAACAAGTCACTGGGCAGGATTACATCACAGCATTTTCACTCGGGCTTTCGGCCCAGAATGTAGATACTCAACAACACAGACCAGGACATTAGAATTTGTGTTGTTTGTCTACTCTGTGATAATGTCCTTTTTTCGATACTGTAGAAAACATCACATCCATAAAAGGCAGTTGGAATGAGGTCATATTAAAGGAATTCAGAGGAGCAGGTTTGACAGAAAAGGAGAAATGTTATCCTTCTGCGTACCAGAGTAAAAGATGACCTCACAAAGAACAGCACGAGGGAATCCAGTGCATCCCTATATATATTTTTGGACTTCACATCACACACTTTATAAGTACAAGCTTATTTTAAACCTTCAATTGTAACTTAGAAAACTGTCATTTATTTTGTGCCCTTATAGAGTGCCACAGTGACGCGTCCTAAAACCCGGAAGTAAGTCAGCATTTGACCACTTCCGGTTCCTTCAACAAAAACCAATGCAATTTCTCCATAGGATTTTGTAAAATAGCTCGAAATAAGGTCTGTAGTTGACACAAATTGAAGAGACAGATAAGGTTTTGTTCAGGTGGATAATATCCGCATGTCTACCCTACTTTTATAATTTTCGATAGATTTATGATTCAAAATCCTATGGTTAAATTGCATTGTTTTTTGTCAAAGGATCCGGAAGGAGTTTACTTACGGGTTTTAGGACACGTTGGCACTGTGGCACTCATAAAGACATTTTAATTCAAAGTGAAGTAATTCTCTCTTTACCAGAAAACTTAAACATGACTCCTTTATGATGTAAGAAGGAATGATAATGTATAACGACTTTGCTGTAATTTTAGAGGAACAGTTGTAGTATGGTAGCAGTAATATAAAAGTATATGAAACAATCCACTCAGCAGAGATTTGACATACATCAGAGATGTTCATGCTCGAGCACACATTATATTTAACAAAGGCTTTAGTTGCACAAAGTATGTAGAATTGTGATTGCTGTTCAAGAAACAATGCTTTGTTTTAAGTAATGCGTTTTTGTTTATTAAACACATAATGTGTTACTACAATTACCAGTACTTTTCATCTGCATTGAGGTATTTTCATCCTGTAATGTAATCAGTCAGTTAACAGACTGAGTCATGTTAGTTAACAGGCTGTTCTTGTCAGCTTTTACTTTTCTATTATCTTGATGAAAAGGAACAAGGGTGATCTGTATCTCAAAGGTCATTTGTTGGTGTGGGAGTGGGAGGGAAACTGGTTAGGGGTTAACTGCATAACAGATGACTTTCTACTCCTTTCCACCATTATTCTACACATTTACTGCAAATAGGTTGAACAGTTAGTCAGCACCTTAGTTAATGAGTTCTGAATGAACATGCTTATCAAAATGTACAACTTGATTAGGATAATTGGTTGTGACCTTAGAACTAATTACCCAGTGTAATCAAACAATCTAATGTTTGCAGTACTTTTTATAATACTTGAAATTTGTATGCCGAGGTGAGAAATATGATGAAAAGATATTTAGTAAACTATATATACCAAAATAACAACCCAAGGGAGTAAAATACCTCTGCTTTCCCATCCTTGTTTAAACATAATTTTCATATTAGATAACGCAGAAAATGTTAATTTGTGGTAAAGAAAAACGTAAATATTACTAAAGCTAATATAGCAAGGCTCAGGGGTCATATTCATGTGGGTCCCTGTTCACACAGTAAAGGAATTCTGGGCAATGATTAGACAGACTGGCCAACATTTCTGTTCAATAAAAGAAAGTATTTGTATTTGGTCCTGTGGGAAGTAGGGGAATATATGCTTAGTAAAATAACAACAAGATAACAAAAAGGACACACTTTTGCTTTGAACAAAACCTATAGGTATGCAAGTTGTGGTAGTCAGTACATATTCAGTAAATGTGCGATGCCATCAGCCATGACATCTGTAGCTACTAGCTATGCTGCAGGCTTCTTTCTATTGTGTTAAAGAGATAGGAGAGTTGCTGTGTTGAAATTAATGTTTGTGTTGGCGTCAAAAGTGTCTGGTCTGGAGAGCGCAGGAGCATGCTACTTGTTAGCCACGAGCTACAGGAACAAGCCAGGTGCAGCTAATTATCATTGACGTTAGCCGACCCGTCTCCCAGCAACTATGATTTTTTGGCTAGGGTAACCGTCAAACTGTGTGGAAATTGTTTAGCTTCAAGGCATGGGTGGATAAGATGTAACGGAGCTTTTACTTCCGACAAAAACCACACCCTTATGATGACAAAGAAGTTTGACAGGTTAGTAAACGCCACCATTTCAAACATTAAAACGTTAGTGTTAATGTTGACATACACTCGAAGCTAGCTACCATGTCCACTCATGGCCGGTATATCAACATTGACCACACCTGGTGTTAATTAAATCCAAATGAAACATTTTAACCTCACATCGATGTTATCCTGTGTTGATAATTTTCGAAGTGTTGTTACTTCGTTATGCTAATTTATAGTAACGTTAGCTCATGCCCTTGTCACACGAGGACGAAAATGGTCGTATCTGCTACAGTTCTCTAT